TCAGGTAGAATAAGCTGGGTATCTAATTCATTATCTAATACAAGTTTTACAGGGCGTAAAATAAAAACTATTATTACACAGGAATACAACAAATTCCCCCAAATGGCCCCATGAAGTCAGCTCTCATTAGTCAGCTCCTCCCTATTTAGCCAAAGGCTCTCCACTCAGGCCAGCTGTCCTACTAGTCAGCTCCCTCCACTAGTCAGCTGTCCCCACTAGTCAGCCTCCTGCCAGGTCACGAAGTACTCCCACGCCAGTCAGCTCTCCCACTAGTCAGCCCTGCCCCCACTAGTCAGCTTCTCCCCACTAGAAGGTCAGCCCTGCCCCCCACTAGTCAGCCCTGCCCCCACTATCAGCTACCCCCCTAGTCAGCTTCCCACTAGTCAGCTCCCCCACTAGTCAGCCCTGCCCCCACTAGTCAGCTCCCACTAGTCAGCCCTGCCCTCCACTAGTCAGGCCACTCCCTAGTCAGCTCTCCCACTAGTCAGCTCCCCCAATAGTCAGCCCTGCCCCCACTAGTCAGGCTACCCCTAGCTGCTCTCCCCACTAGTCAGCTTCCCTCCACTCGTCAGCTCCCATCCCACTAGTCAGGCTCCCTCTCCATTAGTCAGCTCCCACTAGTCAGCTCCCCACTAGTCAGCTCCCATCCCACTAGTCAGCCCTCCACTAGTCAGCTCCCCACTAGCCAGCCCTCCACTAGTCAGCCTCACTAGCTTTCAGCTCCCTCCCACTAGTCAGCTCCCCTCAGTCAAAGGCCCCCCACTCAGTCAGCTCCCCCACTAGTCAGCTCCCATCCCATTAGTCAGCTCCCCTAGTCAGTTCCCTCACTAGTCAGCCCCTCCCATTAGCCGCCCCCCCACTAGTCAGCCCTGCCCCCCACTAGTCAGCTCTCCCCATTTAGCCAGGCTCTCTACTAGGTCAGCTCCACCACTAGTCAGCTCCCCCACTAGCGTCAGCTCCTCCACTAGTCAGCCTCCACCAGTCAAGGCCCTCCACTAGTCAGCTCCCCCACCAGTCAGCCCCTCCACTCAGTCAGCCTCCACTAGTCAGTCCCCACTAGTCAGCTCCCCCCACTAGTCAGCTCCCCACTAGTCAGCTCCCTTCCACTGGTCATTCTCTCCACTGGTCAGCTCCCTCCACTAGTCAGCTCCTCCACTAGTCAGCCCTCCACTAGTCAGCTCCCTCACCAGTCACCCTCCTCAACAGTCCCCCCTCCCCCTTCAACAGTCATTAATACACCGCTGGTTAATTTGGTCTGGTATTTACCTTGAGGAGCGAGACCTGAACCTGTGTTTACCTGTCCATGGCCAATTAACCCCACCCCACTTCTCACTGCTGCTTCCACCACCACCACCGTCACTGTCAGTCCAGGGTCATATTGTACCACCATCATCACTATCATCATCACTACCAGTCTAGGGTTATGTAGTGCCACAACCATCATCATCATCATCATCATCATCACTGCCAGTCCAGGGCCATGTAGTGCCACCACCATCACTGCTGTAAAATGTAAACACAGCAGGTATATAATGTAAACACAACAGGTATATAATGTAAACACAACAGGTATATAATGTAAACACAACAGGTATATAATGTAAACAGTGGACATGAGGTAAGTGTCCCTAAGAGGCGATAAAGCAGATGATCCTTAACAAAGGTCGTCATTTACAATTCAGATACCAAGGTCACCTGAAGGTATTTTGGGTGGCACTCTTCCAGCCAGCCCTCACCTGGTGTGGCACTTTTCCAGCCCTCACCTGGTGTGGCACTCTTCCAGTCCTCACTTGGCATGGCACTCTTCCAGGTCTCACCTGGTATGGCACTCTTCCAGGTCTCACCTGGTGTGGCACTCTTCCAGGTCTCACCTGGTGTGGCACTCTTCCAGGTCTCACCTGGTGTGGCACTCTTCCAGGTCTCACCTGGTGTGGCACTCTTCCCAGGTCTCACCTGGTGTGGCACTCTTCCAGCCCTCACCTGGTGGCACTCTTCAGCCCTCACCTGGTGGCACTCTTCAGTTTTCACTCTGGCAGCACTCTTCCAGTCCTCACCTGGTTTGGCATTCTTCCAACTCTGCATCATGTGGCACTCTTCCAGCCCCTCACTTGGCATGGCACTCTTCCAGGTCTCACCTGGTGTGGCACTCTTCAGGTTTCACCTGGTGTGGCACTCTTCCAGCCCTCACCTACCGTGGCACTCTTCCAGCCCTCACCTGGTATGGCACTCTTCCAGTTTTCACCTGGCATGGCACTCTTCCAGTCCTCACCTGGTTTGGGTCTTCCAACTCTCACATCGTGTGGCACTCTTCCAGCCCTCAGTTGACATGGCACTCTTCCAGTCCACTCAAAGTGTGGCACTCTTCCAGGTTTCACCTGGTGTGGCACTTCCAGCCCTCACCTACTGTGGCACTCTTCCAGCCCTCACCTGGTATGGCACTCTTCCAGTTTTCACCTGGCATGGCACTCTTCCAGTCCTCACTGGTTTGGAATTCTTCCAACTCTCACATCGTGTGGCACTCTTCCAGCCCCGCTGACATGGCACTCTTCCAGCCCTCACTCTCAGCACCTTCCACCTCACCTGGTGGCACTCTAAACCACATCCTCGTGTGACACTCCTCAACTATCCATGGTGTGGGATGGGATGGAAGGTGGTGGGGGGATGGAATAGGCGTGGTCTGGGGCGTGGGGGGATGGAAGGTGGGGATGGAAGGCTGGGGGGATGGAAGGCGTGGTGGGGGGAAATGTGAATGGGGATGGAAGGAAGGGTGTGGGGAATGGAAGGCGTGGGAGGTGGAGACGTCACAACAAATGAACTTGACCCCGTGGAGGTGACCTTCGACCTCCAGGTGTCAGCGGTGTCTGGCCAGGTGTATTGATTGACCAGGTGAGAGAGAGAGAGAGAGATCAGGTGATGCTTGGCACCTGGGATAGAGAGGGAGAGGAGGAGGAGGGAGGGAGGGAGGGAGAAGAGAAAGAGGAGGTGAAAAGGAGGGAGGTGAAGAATAGGAGGGGAAGAGGATAAATAGAAAGGAGCAATGGAGATGCTAATGAGAGACAGAGAGAGAGAGAAATAAAGAGAGAGGGAGATGGAAAGAGAGACATTCGCTGGGTGATAGAAGAGAAAGAAAGAGAGAGAGAGACAAAGGGAGATAGACGGATAAACAAAAGACAAAATAAACAAGAAAGAGAGAAAGTCGTGCACCTTGATATGCCAGTCTCCTCCCACCTGACAGACGGTACAAGAGGAGGGAGGGGGGACTAAGACAGTGTTTATATCTGCTTGATGTCTTTACTACGGTGATACACTGTGGTAGTCTGCTGAAGATTAGACACCCCATCCTGTTTCACCTGAAGATTAACCACCCTAATGTTAATCTAACCTAACTTGAACTTGCCTAACGTAATCGAACCGAATCTAATCTAACCCAACCAAAACAAACCTAACCAAACCTATACATGACCTAACCTAACCTAATCTAAGTTAACCTAACCAAAGTTTTACAGTAACTAACTTCCGGAGGTCAGGTCAAAGGTCATAGGTGACGAGTTTAGAGGTCGCGAGTTTAAAGGTCACGAAGTTAGAGGTCACGAAGTTAAAGGTCACGTGGTTAGAGGTCACAGGAGGGTTAAAAACTACACTGATAACCTCTGACATTCTCTTGTTGACTTAAGAGTTTTGTCGCGAGAATAAAAAAAAAATTAAACTGGATTAGTGGAATTCGATTGAAGACTCCATTCAAATTATTTCCTCTTGGGTTAAAAAAAAAAGTGAATAAAAATGAAATTAAATTGTTTCTATAAATGTATTTTTTTAGGGGAGAGAAAAAAAAAAGGTATTAAATTATCAGTAGAATTGGGTCGAATAGTTTTAGTTTTTATGTGTAATAATATTTTCACGATAAAGTTACAATGAATTTCAGTGGAATCCGATTAAAACAATTTATTCAGATACAGTTTGACATATTGAAAACAAAACTTAATAAACTGTTAATAAATTGAGACGAAACAGTTTATTGACATAGAGTTTTGTTTTAGAGAAGAAAAATATACCAATCACATCAAAGGAATCAGAATATACAGTTTATTTCAGGTACACAGGTTTATGTCAGACAGAATATATTTCACTGGAAGTAGATTAAACATTATATTATTTGTATCCTAGACAATGTTTT